ACACACACACACACACTCCTGCCCCCACACGCAAACCCACTCTACAGATTCTCCCTCCCTTTCTGTCTCAGGGCTGTTTGCCTTCTTCCCTTATCTATAAAGATAAGCTCCTTACTGTGTGTTCAGTGTGTTATCAGATGTTTGTGGCCCATATTTGGTGCAAAAGAGATGCTGACATCCTCCCAAGAGCCTTTCTTCATTGGATCTTTACAATCCGGTGCAGTTTTAAACATGCGTTCATATTCATGCTGCTGAGAGACTAATAAACCCCCAAAGCCACATTGCAATTCATATTTGAATTGAGTTAAAGAAGCGTTATGATTGTGGAACCTGATATCTCCTTCGCTGCATTCGAGAGTGACTCAGGCAGGTGATTTGCCTACATTTCCATGTCCTATATCTAGTTTACTAGATGGGTTGGTGTGTTAATTAATAGAGCAAAACATACTAAATAAATGTCACTATGCGTCCTGGTATGTTTCCACATGGTCAAATATTGTCTCAGTAGGCAGTAGTATAGGGGAAATTGTAATATCCAAACTTCATTGCAACGGGAAGACTGACATCGCTGGCTCACCTCTGGCTGGTTAATCTTGTCCTCTTCAGCCTGGGCTGGGGGCCACATGCCAAACTTGCCAACTGACTGGCGTGCTGCAAGAGAGAGAAAGAATATAAAAGCAGCTGAAGGCAGGATGAGCAAGAGCAGGGCATCAATGAGGCAAAGATGTTCCTGTGATTTTGTTTATTGCTTCACACTGTGAGCCTCCTTGAATCAAATTATGAGTGAAAATGGTGAAGCAGCAGAGAGAAATGAGTGGATAGAGAGAAGAATGCAGTGGGAAGTAAGCAATAGAAATGTGTTTGATTGAACATGAACATGGTGAAATAGAAACAGAAAGTAGGCTCTAGAAATGAAAGAATATGAAAAAGGTTATAGAACTCATTGTCTATGAAACAATACATTATTGTTCATGTCCCAACACTGAGTCATGGTCATTCAAGTCCTTTAGTGGCACACCCTGGTCAGTTTGACACGCAATTGTTGGGGACACTTTGATTCATATAGAGTCAAAAAACACACACACTGGCAACCCTTCCTGCCAACTAAACACACACAAACATACACTTAAACATACTATACAGCAGTTGTTCCCTTTCCCAACCTATTTTGTCTGATTTACCCACCCATCATCCATATGTGTTTGAATTGAGTTTAACCTGGATGTTATTGAATACTAATAATTATAGAAAAAGATTTTAGGTTTAAATATTTTTTTGAAACACTTTTTGCTGTTAGATCCTACTTACTAGCTAACTACAGTAGCTTTTAGACACTAACTCACGACATGTAGTGTACAGGTGTTGATATATTTGTTTAATTTCATGTGTAATTTCAAATTGGGGTTTGAAATACCCCGGTTTGGAATCACTATTGTACAGTACATGGACACAATGGCAGCAAAGTTGTAACTCGTCCTCTCAGTAGAACTGCATTATACATTTGCTCTCGTTATCATTAGTCTCTACACTGACTCTATATCACCACAATAGCTAAAAAAACAAGTTGTATGCACTTTCTGAATGCTGGATTTAGACTTTATCTGAAAATTGGACTCTTCCAACGGACTCCTTTCTTGCTGAGACAATAAAAGTGTCGACATATGACTCAGGACTTCCTCATCTCAACTTTTGCAATTAATATGACGGACTAGATGCTTTATTTATTGTGGAGTTACAGAATTTTATTTTCTTGTCGACCAGCTTATGGTCTCCACTGCAAAATTATTGCTCATAACAGCTAACGCTGGTTTCGATAGCTGTTTGCAGTTTTCCACTGACCATGAGAAAAATGAAATAATGTGCTCACTGGGCTGTTTCAGGGGGTTTTCATCATCTCACCCCGGATATAAAAATTACACACATACCCACACGCAAGCAACCGTACACATATACACATTGTCTGTGTATGCTTGTGAGTGCAAGCAGAATCAGTTATATCCCCCACACACACACCTCTAGTCCTAGATCAACACTCAGCACAACACTGACCTGCTGGGGGTCCAGTTACTCCCCTGGATGATGAGCCAGGTACAACCAGTCCATTCAGTGAGGAAGAAGACAATGTGGGACTCTTTACTTCTATGCTGGCTAGCCTTCCTCCCCCTCCTCCTCCTCGTCCTACCCCCACTTCTTTTGCACCCTCTGTGCCCCCGTAAAGACTGATCCTCTGCTTGTGAAGCTCCTTCTCCCTCTCTTGAGCCTCCCGGATGTCCTGCTCCACTTTGACTAAATTTGTTGAGGTGCGCAGCTTGAAAAAGGGGTTCTCCTTGGGTTCCACCTCCACCTCTTCCTCCTCTTTTTCCTGCTCCCTTCCTTTGTTCCCACCATGTCCTCCTGTCCTGGATGATAAGATATTAGGTCTTCCAGAGTCAACTACAGTGACGGGCTCAGCCTCTGGTTTGGCATGGTAGAGCTTCTGTGCTGGGACGCTTAGGTTATTCTCTAGGATGATGACCTGACAGCCTGTTCCATTGGAGAAGCCTGGTCCTCGGGGGGTTAGAGAAGTAGAACTCCCTCCTTTCGCTGAGTTTGGGCTCTGCGTGGGACTCCTCTCTGCATATAAGCCTTCTATTGTGGATGCCTGCGATGACATGTCCTCCTGGTTCACCAGGGTTGAAATGTCACTGGCAGAAGACCAGGACTCAGTTTTACTTCTGACTGACATAGACAAAGTCATTGAATCATTGGGTTTCTGAAAGGCCTCAAAAAGCTGTTTCCTCTCTTTGAGTTGCCGTACTGTGCCTTTGTCATAGAAACCTGGGACCTTTCCGAGCTTGACCAAATCCTGTTCTCTTTGGACCTCCTCGAAGATCTCATGCTGCATCTTTTTACCTGCAAACTGCCTGTCTTTGCCTTGACACCTACCAGACTTAGCAGTTACAGCTTGGCAGAGAACCGTTTTCCTTAAAGGGATCTCTACATACTCTGGTGAAGGGGGTGGATTTGGAAGCCCCCTGGACCTTCTCAGGCTGTGTTCACGCTCTATAGCCCGTCGAATCTCCCTCTCAATGGGAGTCTCTTTGGGTACAGCAGTTGGAGTGCCTGTAGAGATGGTGGTGTTGCCTTCCAAAGTGCTGCATGGGGAGAAGTCCGCTGAAACTCCACTGTCACTCTGGCTATCGTCACACGAGTCACTCTCCATCCTGGTGTGTTTGGAACGCAGAAATCTGTATTTTTCTGTCTTAAGCTCTTGTGTTCGGACTGTTGAAAATGTTAACAGTCCTCCACTGTGTTGCTGCCTAACTACCTTGTTCCTTTCAAGTCCACCCTCTTTCTGCCCTTCCTCTCCACCTGTTTGCTTGTTTTCTCCTTCTGTTCTTTCCCCCGCCCTGCTCTGCCTTTCTCTCACAGCTACAACACAACCAGAGCCTTGAGAAGCTGTCCCGCCCCGATTGGACAGCTCCATGGCAACGGTCGACAAAGGTGGAGAGCCCTGGCCGAGCACCTGTTGTGCAGCTTCCTGGTTTTCTCTCCTGGGGGCAAGTTCACATTGGCTCTGGGACAACAGCTCCTCCTGCTGTTTTTCTGAGGGAAATGCAGGCAGGGTTGACGTTTGTTCGGAAGAAACTGAGATATTGGCAGAACATGAGGGTTGGAAAGGCTTACTGATATCTAGTGTTGTCCATTGCTGTTGACAAGCTATAATATCAATGCTCACTTCCTCTTCTTCATCACTTTCATCAGCAAAAGGGGGGGAGCAGACATCTGAGTTGTTTCTGTCAGAGGGAAAATGATGAGTTGAATTTTTTCCAGCAGCTGCAGCCCCTGACATATTGTTTTCAGGTTCACTGTTGTCAAAACCATCTGTTAAGAAGTTCAGCTGTGTGACATTTTCTTCTGTTGTCATATTATCGTATGTCATCTCCTCAGATATAGAATCTACCTCTCTCTCCTCCTCCTCTTCCTCCTCCTCCTCCTCCTCATCCTCCTCAAATGGCTCAGCGAGAGGAGCTGTTTGTGGCCATTCTTGGCTATTTTGGCTATCAGGAGATATAAGGTCTGCTGGGTCTGAGATTATCTCACCATCACTGATCCACTCAGCCTCCTCATCCTCTAGACTGGAAAAATCCTCTTTGTCAGAGAGTTCTCCTGTTGATAAATCACAGAAGGCAGGAGGAGGAAGCGGGAAAGCATCACATAGATCAACAGACTCTTCCAATTCCTCTTGAGTCTGTAATGCTTCTGATAGTTGGGCAACTTGTCCTAATTCTGTCACCATCTCTCGTGTCTCCCTGGGGGTGCACAGACTAATTCTTGTTAATGCCTGATTTTCCAACTTGGTTGCATCAGCTATTTCGGTTCTTAAAAGTGTTTGGTTCTCTGGCAGAGTTTCGTCTTGAGCTCCAGGCTCCAGGGCGTCTATATCCTCTTCAGGTTCTGCCCTGGGAGCCTTTTTGTCTTGCAGAGGGGAGCTGTGGCTTATGATTGCACCGACTTCACCTTGTGCTCGGGACTCATTGACCCACTCGTCTAGTGAGTTGACAGGACCCTGTTCCTGCCAGGCCACAGGCTTTGTTGCCATGGTGACAAGTCTGCTGATATAAAACCGTTTGGAGCACTCAGGATGTTCGGCCTCTAGCCAGTCAGTCTGAGTGAAAGCAGAGGAACACAGAGGGGAAAGGGGAACAACAGAGTGATTAACAGAGTTCAGCAACAAACACGGCCACCCATTTTACATCCCATTATTTCAGTGTAGATGAAATGTCTTGCTATAGTATTGCCAAGAGAATGAATCATCATATGGTGTTTACTGTGACATTTACTGTGGAATTGTTTTGAAATGTTAAGTACTATATTTTTATGTCTGTTCTCATATCTTATTCAACTGGTATTGCCACACCACACTTTATGCGGGCGTTTCTCTTAATTTGTCACTAATTTGTGTATTTGTGGAGATAATTATGTGTGGTAGCTGGTGCAGGATTAGAGCAGCAGAAATAAGTAGATGTGTCGTGCATTTATGCCCTATCTTTTTAATGGCAGATACTGAGTGCTCTTGTTATTGTGTGACAGGCAAGCTGTTTATAACTTTGTGCTTGGCTTTGGTTGTAAGGTAGTAGCTACTCTGCTCCACTGTGCAACGCATAAAGTTTTCTGCTGAACACACCTTTCTTTAATCAGCTTACAGGCTAGGGAATGGCTCAGCACCACACACACACCCACACCCACACACACACTGTCTCTCTGTTACCCTCTAGCAATATTATTTCCCTCCCTAGCCCACTCATATACACACAAAACTCCTCTGTCACCTTCTGCTCAGCCTGGATCCTGACAAACTCCCATTCCCATCCATGGTGATTCTTGCCAAACCAGCATGGCTGGACTCCAACGCTGTGATCATTAAGGGGAATGTAGATCATAGCACTGGGGATGGCTAGTCTCTGATTAATTGGGACAGATGGACAGATACGATACATAGATAGCTTGATACTTACAGTGCACTTCCCCCTTCAAGTAACAACAGGAACTGACACATGGCAGAACAAGTAGGGAACAGTGTAGTGATAATAATGGTGGAGCATGTAGGCACAACAATGTGGCCAAATGTGAGGAAATTAGGATAAGGACAGTGAGCCATGACAGACACTGTTTATAATCAACAATGGCTGGTTTGACCACTCACTGCATACCATCACTGTATTTGTCGCTGGTAAAACTGTGTACTGTGCTACACCTGCAGTGACAGGCGAAGCAAAATGCTATAATTTCCACATTTAAAAAAAAAATATATTTATTTCAGATGAAACTGCTTATTAGAGTGGATGCGCCATTGACATCATTCAGTATCCATTATGAAATGCACCCTGGCTGCTGTCAGGCTGGCTGTTTTCTCATGGGGGAGGGTGTATGGGACAGTTGGCAACAAAGTTATCACTGCATCTAAATGAGACTGAGCCTCGGCTCATTCAGTTTAGTTTGTGCATTCTACAAATTTACAGATGCCAGACAAAAGAAATCACTGGAGAAGACTATACATACATCTAATTTCTATATCAGGTATTACTTGGGTAAACTACTACCAGCCATGTTTTACAATATTGCATATTGACAGACTCACTCTGGTGCAGTTTTCATAAAAGAAGCATAATATGTCACTCAACATGAAGTTTAATTGTGAAATGGAGCATGAAAACTAGTCTTTTGTCACAGTGAGAAGGTGATTGTTGTAAGACTTTAAACTCTGTAAGAAATCTAATCTTGGCTTAAAAATCTCACACCTACTGATTCCTGCTGAAAACAAACAAGCTTAAATCAATTAATAGAATGATCCTGCAATGCTACAGTAGTGAAACAATACTCTCATTTATATTGTGGCATGGTAATGTAATCGGACTACCCTGAGTGTAAACTCTGGCATGCCCTAATGAGATTCTTCCTTTATGCACATTTATATATATAATATGATGTGCTGTAGTGTTTTATTTTCTAAAGATGCTCAGAAAAACCAGAGGTTCTCCAGCTCTCTTAGTAAGGTTGCAAAGTAAGGTTGCAAGAGATTGCGGATTAAAACTCTGTTACATAACAGACTTATGTTTTGCTCATTATCTACAAAGGGGGCTCACTTTATCAAAAGAACAGCAAAATTATGGTCATCATTAAAATTACATCCGCGACGGGCCTTACAAATAAACTTGCCCTCCTTTTTGGGGTCAGCAGTGTCCTAAGGTACTTTAAGATCTAAGGGCATTTGACACAAATGCAAATGAATTTAAATAAATGCATCTAACTTCAACCCTAATTAGAATTATCTCTGTTGCTAACTAATGGTTGCTGACATTATTCTTTGCACATTTTACTTACTTTGATACGTTTTAGTCATTGTAGCAAAAAGAAACACTGTGAAAACCTGGTCTCTGCAGTCTTGGCTGTTTAGAATCATTTCTGTAATACAGTTGTTTGCTACAGTAGTAATTAATTACATGCTTGGAATTTAATGAATCTATGTGTACAAGAATTTCAATTTAAATAAAAGAAGAGTAAATCAAAAATACTAGAATAATGTAGTTGCACATACCTGTTAACAAAATGCTTTGAAGATGCCCTCCAACACACATTTCTCTGAGAATTCACACTTTTCACGCCTTGATTCAAGTCAACACAAAAGGAATTTTTTTGCTCACAGCTACAGCCTCACTGCCTGTATCTCCTCCCTTGTGCCCACTGACACCCTCAGTACCCTGTGCGTGCACACATTTGCATACCATGCTCACAAGCAAACATTCACTAACACATACACAAGAATGAGCACATGTGCATGCATGAACACGTGCTTGAGGCTTACCCTATTGTTGTGGATTTGAAAATGTATAGTACTAATCCAATTAGTAAGCAACACACATTAATTATTACACCATGCGAGTGAATGAACAATGTACCAGAGGGATAGAGGGGTGAATATGGTTGCATGCTTTAATTTTATTGTCTTTTCATTACATTTGAGTGTAAACTACAGAAATCTATGAGCTTAGTGAATATTTTCTAATTCACAGTACTCAGATGAACAAATCTATTTACTTTTAAAGTTGTCAAATTGAGTCATGTCAGTTTTATTCATATAATCCAAAATCACAATTCACAAACTTGCCTTTTAAGCTTCACATCGCTACAACACCTGCTATCCTTTAATCCTTGAACCCAAAACTTTAATCTGAAAAAAATATTATTATATAATATAATGTTCAAGAAATTTCAAGCATGCAGGTGTCTATATTTTGGAAACCCATCCCCACTGATTATTCAGACTCTTCTGCACTACATCAGAGACATATCTGCAAAATGGACACATATAGACAAAGACATAAAACAGAAATAGACATTGTAACAAAATAAATCCCATCATGCCATGCTGTATTGGCAGCATCCAAGGGTTGATTTAGGGTGACATCTCTCCATGACAAAAATGAAAAATCATTGCCTGTATTAACCTATGGTTCAAGATATTTAGATGAATATATTCAATCTGTACAAAGCAAAAATACTGTCATACAAATTTTTCCGTACTGTGTGACTGAATATCATGTACCAGAGTCTCTCAAGCCTTTTGTTCCTCTGTTGTCTCCTTAGACAGAGCTGCTGCTGTTGATTGGCTCTCGGGTTGTTCTGGGCAAAGCTCCTTGGTAGGATCCATCACAACAGGCGAAGGCAGCTGATAACACCTCAGCTGAGCCCTGAACTCCTCCATCTCCTCCTGTTTCAGCTCCCTCCTCCTGCTCAGCAGGTACAAGTCTAGAGATCGCCTCTTCTTTGACTCCACAACCCACTTCATCACGACACAGTCTGGACAGGACGTATAGAGAAAAGACCCGGTGAGGTTGAAGCGATTACCCACATCAAAGGTGAAGGTACTGCCTTCTACTGAGATGTTGTAGGGCAGCTCCTGGCACTGATCACCAAAGCGGTTGATTTGGGTATAAGAGAAGTTGGAGGTTTCACTGGAGTTGAAGAAGTACATAGTAATGCTGTCTCGTAGTCTCAGGGCCTCTATGGATGGCTGGTGATTGAGACTGCCTGCAACTAAAGCCCATCTGCCCTCGAAGTGGTGAGGATCCATTTGATCCAACGGGTGGACCAGTTTTTCGCAGACTGGAGGAGCTGAATCACTCACAGCCATCAGGCAGAGGAAAGCGAGGACATACACAGGAAACATGTCTCTGTGTTAAAATTATACTAATTCTATGTAGATATCTTCACCTTGGAGGCTTTTATAGTAAAAATTCCATCAAGAATGTCCAGTATTGCAACACAGTACAGGTTCACAATTCCTTATCTATGGGGTTTCCCTTATTGGGCAATAATAAAAGTTCGCTCATTATTTGTATTATTTTGTGGTTCCATCCCACTTGAATGTTGTGGGATATTCATATATTTAGATATTTTCTCTAAATAAAATAGCGTTTATTGTGAATACAGTGTAGTGCACATACAAACTGGTAATCTCTAACCCTGTCTTTGCTTACAAAGACAGCAACAATTCAAACAGCAGCTACATGTAATCAAGTTCATAACCAAGATGAAAGTAGTTTCTCATTTGTAGAATCAGTCAAAAATGAGCACATGCATATCACCTCAGGCAATGGATTGTAATTCTGTTAATAATATGTGGTGTAAACATTTGAATTACACATGGGAAAAAAAGAGCCCTCCAGTCTGAAACTCATAAGTTTGGCACATAAAAATGACATTAATTTCCCCTTCATATACTAAAAGAGGTTGCAGTTTTTCACATATAACTACTTACTTGCTAACATAGAATAACATAATATGGAAAATATAATTAGTACCAGGAGTAAAATGACTTTAAAAGGTTGTTAATAATTTGTTTTATAGATAAATAATCATCACATTGACTTCTAGACACAATGATCAGGATCCAAGCAGGTTGTGACAAGAAAGAACTTGAAAATACACAATTTACACAATCATGAATCACCACATTGGCCACCTGGGCATTTCAACCCTGGACTTTTGTATCCTCAGAGTAGGTGAATTAGTGACTGACCTTCTGGGAAGCCAGTTTTCCACACACTTGTTTTGTGTGTACTGTTTGTTTGTCCTGAACAGATAAAAAGAAAAAAAAAGTAACACATATAATCACACAGATACAATCATAGTGAAATGAGAGGGAGAGAGGTCTTATCTTGTCCGTTAAAACTTAAATCATATACAATTCTGAGAGAAATCATCATTCTACTGTTTTCAGGTGTATTGTTAAATACTTTGGTGATGTTTGATCAAACATACGCCAAAGTAGAATATGTTACTCAGTACAGTAAGACACTGAATATCAGTGCAGACTCATCATTTGACCAATCTGAACAACATGTGACATCTATTATCCAAACAATGACTGTGTCAAAAAAAATTGAGTGGCAATTATCTCAATTGACCATAGGTTGCAGTGAGGCAAATTGAGGCAAATCTAATTAACCCTTGCGAACATGTGCACTTAGTTTGGTACCAAGTTTAAAATGTTATTATCATTTTACAGGGAGTTATGTACTGGACTATTTCTTTGCTGGGAACAGTAACTTTCTGGAGTCTTTGATTGTTGCCTGGCAACTGGTCCCAACAAAGACATATTTAATATAAAACTAAATAAAAAGGTGATTATTTGTTTTCTACAGATCAAACAAACAAGCTATAATTCAATTCAATACAATTACTATATTTATACATATAACAGAAAATATCTCACAATCTTAATATTATATACACTTATAATATAATAACTATAAGACTAGTGCCAATCTTCTCAAAGTTATCAGAAAGTCAAACGATTCATTTATTTAACCAGATGCAAAAGATCCAACAAGTTCTTTAAAAATAACAATTTCCACTGAAAGGTAAAAGGCAGCAAATACTTTATAATGCATATTGTTCACCCTCCTCTCTGCATTTTAAGTGGTATATGTCAGCATAGTTATAACTTATTGCTGTTATAGGGAAGGCAAACAAATTAAATACCATTATGGCATGCTATGTTAGCAGTGTCCAAAGATGATTTAAGGCTGGCACCTCATTACCCAAATTAACTGAAGATATTTGGGAAGATTAAAAGGAAAACAAGACAATTTCTTATCTCACAAAGCACATACAGTACTATAGTGCAAATTCATTTACACTATGTGACCAAATATTATTAATAAAATTAACCAAATTAAGTCTTTTAACCCTTTTGTTCCTCTGTGTTCTATTTAGTTTAAGCTGCTGGATCACTGGTGGTTTTCTCTGGACAAAGCTTCTTTGTAGGATCCATCACAA